GAGTTTTACAGCAAGATGGTTACACAAGTCTGCATATATTAGGAAAAAAAGTCAATTTAACTTTATGTTAATTTTTTTAAAAGTTGAAAACAAGGGAAAAATAAAAAAGAAAAAGCAACTAGAAAAAATAATGACAAAAAGAAGAAAGAGGCTGCTTCTGAACAATAGGATTATACATAGCTTTTTTCCTTAATTGTTTATATTTCTCTGTACTGTCCCAGGGATCACATATTACTTGGAGTAGACATAAATGAAGTAAGAAGCAGAAATTCTGGAGCCTGACAGGGGTCTGATGCTGAATCCAGACAGGCAGCCCAGCTCCTGAAGGCAGGCCGGGCCCAGAATCTCTGGCACACACCTGCTACCGGGAGTTATGGCAAAGAAAACCTCTCATCCTGGGCGGCCTGGTGCCAAGAAATGGGGCAGAGCTGTGGGTGAGCCGCCATAGCCCTGGGGAAGGGGCGGCAAGGATGCTCTGATTCCCCAGCAGCTTCTCTTCAGGCCCCAGGACCCCCATGGGAGAGACAGGCTGCTCCTCAGGGTCCCCTCCTTGGAGCCCCACTTCGTTCCCTCTATCTCCCCATGTGAGTGACAGTCACTCCGGGGGGTGGGGGTCATTACAGGAGCATGTCCTTCCCTGGCCTAACGCAGGGCTGCGGGCACACGGAGAGGGAGGAGCTGGTAGACATTACAGCAGCAAAACAAATGGTGAAGAGAGATGAGTGACAATGTGCAGTGACTTTTCTCATTCAGAATGCTGCAGAAAGAAACAAAAGGCACCACAGAGCGCTGGCTGCTGGGGTCCTGCTACCTCGCCCTCTTCAGATACTATTTACTGCTCTGCAGATCAGGGGACCGGGCCTGGGGCTGTGACCTCCCCACAACCACTCAGAGCCCCATGTCAAGGGCCACATGGACAGCAGAGGGGCTGGGCTCTGTCTGTGCCCCGCACAGTGCACGACCCCTCTAGGAGCCCACTGCTTGCAACACACTGTTCCTTGCAGGTGGCCCAGGACCTGGACAGTGGGCTCTGGGAGCACACCTGCTTGTGAATCTCAGCACTCCCTGTTCCCTTGGTGTGACTGGGGCCAGGCTGAGTTTATTTGTTCAGTGACAACTCGGGCATCGGGAGTACAAGCTGCAGAAGAATCTGTGTGGGATTTCTCCAGGACTCCAGCTGGGAGGGAGACGGGGGAAAAGGCTGAGATGGGAACTGTCATGGGATGGCAGGAAAGCTGGAAAAGAGGGTAAAGAAGCAGGGGGTCCACGAAGGTGTTTGATAATACCAGGTGCCTCTCCTGGCAAGAACCCAGGAGAGCAGTTCTACAGGCACTTGATGAAGGTTCCAGGCAAGTGGGACTCTGACAGAAATTAACATTGAGCACTTCCTCTGTATAGAAATAACACAGCAAAGAGGGACCATGGCTCTTCTTGGGAATCTGTACCAAGAACAAGGTTAATCTTCTTCTCTGTACCTTCCTATATTATCCCTTTATAAAACATATACACACTCCCTTTTTAATTTAAAGCAGAAAATCATAAAGATAAATTCAACTTTATAATCTGACTTCCACTATTTCAGTCTGTAGGGATCTTTTAAAATCTTCATGCAGTTGCTCAGTATTTTAACTAGCTTTCCTTTCTCTAATTCTAACCCTTGTAGATTTGAAAGTTTGCCTTGTTTTTTTTCTTTTAATAGTTTCAACAAAACTGCTGATTAAAAAACAAGTATCACCCTCTAGACAGAACCAGGCCAGACTCACAGTCACAGAGCACCAAGGGAGGTGTTCCCCTTAGGGTGGCCCCACCCTGCCACCCAATTGCACTTGGGAAAATAGCAACTCACCTTTGATAAAAGAAAGACACACTAATCCATCAACCTGGCAATCCTATACCAAGAAACAAACCAAGCTTATATGACAATCCTGAGTAGAATCCATGGTCTTCTATGTTGATAGATCCCAACTAGTGTTCCTAGGTCTCCAAAATGGTCTGTTTCTTAACCACTCCCTATATGGTCCAGAAATGGCACCTGTAACACTGTGATTTCCAGAACTCACATTTTATTTAATATTTGCTTAGGAACCCTGAGCCAGCAGTGCAATCTCTGGCCTCCTGACATTTGTCCTTTTCTCTAGGTCCCTCACACATCACAGAAGTGGTCTCCTGATCAGGGTGGGTTCTCGGGAGCACTCCAGTATAAGATACACAGCTAGGCAGCTAAGGGACCTGCTGTCTGTCAACCTCCTGGGCTCAGATTCCTCTCGGAACCATGTGCATTCCATCCCTTCTAAAGCCCAGGCACCTAGATAGAGGAGGAGGACTGTGTAGAGAGATTATTTAATGTGGAGCCACACCCATCAGATGGGAATTTAAACAGGCAGTTCCTCAGGGAGCTTCACCTCGGGCTTTTGCCCTGGCCCTGTCACTCTGATAGTCCAGCAGAAATACACACACACACGCAAGCACACACATACACACACACACACACACGTGTGTGCACAGGGGGCAGGCAAACACCTTGTTAGAGAATGGAGGATTCATGTTCTGCAGACACCTAACAATCGAAACTCCAATTCTTTGGCCACCTGATGTGAAAAGCTGACTCATTTGAAAAGACCCGATGCTGGGAAAGATTGGGAGGCGGAAGAAGAAGAGGACGACAGAGGATGAGATGGTTGGATGGCATCACTGACTCAATAGACGTGGGTTTGAATAAACTCCGGGAATTAGTGATGGACAGGGAGACCTGGGGTGCTGCAGTCCATGGGTTCGCAAAGAGTCGGACACAACTGAGCGACTGAACTGAACTGAACAAGAGAAATCTCAGCTCTATTCATTTGTTAAGTCTGAAGCTGGAACAGCCTCAACAGGGCTGGTATTCATAATACTCATTCACAATGACTAATGGGGAAACAAAAGGCTGCCATCTGGTTTCTGGTTCTCGTTTTCTAATTTAGCTCTCAACAACCTTATTTGTTCGTTTTCTCATTCATTAAGCCCTTACTCTATGCCCATAGATGACTTAGATGGGGAAGTGATGATCACTCTGATTCAGGGAGCCAGGTGGGTGCACTGCAAGGGGAGAGGGCAGGGAAGAGCTCACAGCCAGGCTCTGGGGCCCAGACCCTGCCAGCATTTGCTACGACAATGAATTCCTTACAGCCTAAGAGTACAAGAAAGAATACAGACAAAAATCTTCCCAGTTTGCAACCAGAGTTCTATAGAAAAAAAAGGGCTTAATAAACAATTGGGTTTCCCTAGTGGCTCAGCAGTAAAGGATCTGCCTGCCAATGCAGGAAATGTGGGTTCAATCCCTGGGTTGGGAAGATCCCCTCGAGGAGGAAATGGCAACCCGCTCCAGTATTCTTGCCTGAAAAATTCCATGGATAGAGGGAAACTGGTGGGCTGCAATCCAGGAGGTTGCAAAGAGTCAGACATGATTTACGGACTAAACAGCAACTAATAAACAATTATTAAACAATTCCAATCTATGAGGTACATGTTGCTAGGATTCATCAAAGGGGATACATACTCTTCATGCTGTGATGCATAAAGCACTGTTCAAACCACTCTGTAATCTTCCAGGAGCCAGAGGGCTCTCTCTGGCACAGACTAGAGGCACCAACACACGGGGTGAAGCTCCCAGGAAGGAAATGAAAACAGTAAGCCTGGGGCAGGAACTTGGGCAAGGTGAGTGCAGCTCTGGGTGCAGCCTGACTTCCCATAAGACTTGCTTTCATTAGCAAATCTAAGACTGGCCAGGAGAGTGCATCTCCGCAGGGTGAAGGCTGCGGTGCTACCTGGCGGATGCTCATTCATCAGGGTTCCTCCAGCCACAGGGACTGAGCCCTGGCAGGGCTGCGGTGACATGCTCCTACGGCCCTCTCTGTCACTGCCCTTAATCAGAGGCCCTTTGAAATTCAGGTATTTTTTTTTTAAGGCTTTTTTGGGGGTCATTTTTCAGGAGAAAGGCCAATAATTTTCCTTTGGATTCTGTTCGGAATTTGGCACTTACAAGACTGACTTGGGAAAATCCCCAGGAGTGGTCTACTTATGAACAATTGCTAATTAACCCAACCCCTGTGATACTGCAGGGAAGCAGAGTGTGAGAAGGCCAGGACTCAGCGGTATAGGACTCAAAGAGCAGTGCCATTTCTCCACACCACTGTCTACTGGTCTGTAAAGCGGAGTTAATCGTATTTGCTTTGCAGCACTGTGGGTGAGACAGAAGGAGATGGCCCTGTGGGAAGCCACTTTGTCACCACACAGCAAATCACAATCAACAGCAGAAAGATCTCTATGACTAAGACAATTAATAAAGTAATCTTTCACTAAAGATGCCTCTGTGGACTGGCAATTATGACACTGATTTGTGAAGAAGTTATTTTTGCTTCTTCTCCTCTTCCACAATCCCTTACCCATCATCACTGGGCCAAAGAGCCAGCAAGAAGCTATAAGAGAAGAGCACCCCACACATGTACCCTGTCCCAGGGTGCTGGGGACCCAGCTTCATCACCCATTAGGGCCCGCTTTTCCCAGAAGCTGCTCCCAGGAAATCCGTGGCCAGGGGGTGTCATCCCTTGCTCACCTTTCCAGAAGCAGCCTTCTCCCTCTTAGAAAGGAATTACAATCCATTTTCATCCTTCATGGGAATGGGGAGGACACTGATCTAGAAAAATCCTGAGCTACAGGGCTTTCGTTCAATATTGCAAACACATTTTACAGGATTCATGTTTTTCTTCCCTTGATCCACGATGGATACCAGGTGAAGAAGAAAGAAGGGGTTCTAGGTGCTGTGGGGTCTGAGGCTCCAGCCCTGGCTTCCGTGTGCCCTTTCAACTACTGGACAAGATACAGGCTCTCTCAGGGCCTCAGTGTCCCCACCCGCAAGCTGAGGGATGATTGCTTCTCTAAGTAAACAGCTAAAGGCTCAGAGAGGTGTCCACTCTGAGCCAAGGGAGGGAGGCTGTGGCGGGGAGGAGCAAGGTTCCACTCACATGGGGCGTGGAACATGACGAGCACAGAGGAGTGTTCCTTCACAAACTGGTCAAAGTCTTCATCGCTCAGGTGATAAACGGAGCCGCCCTCATCTGCCCAGGGAGTCTCGGGGACCTGGGGCTGTGGCGGCTGCGGACTGGAAGACCAAAAACAGGCAGAGCTCAGAGCACACGCAGGGGCCGGTGCAGCCCTCACCCCCACTGGCTCTCACAGCCTGCTTCAGGGGCTCCCCGCAACCTCTCGGGGAGAGCAGGGGTTGGGGGGACTCCTCGGCCCTGCCCACCTCCATCATCCCCTCAAGAGCCCAGAGGTGCTCAGCTGACATCCTCCAGCAAACAGTGGCTTCCAGCTGTGGCTCTCCAGGCAGTTCAGGAAACCTCACTTCCTCCCTGGGATCAGGGTGGGGTGGGGGGATTTGTCAGCATCTAAAAGTTTAGCCAACTGGCAAGAATAAGCTCTGGCAGCAAAGAGTGACCTCTGACAAAGCTAACTGATGTGCTGAGTGGTGCCCACAGGGTGAGGGGTGAGAAGAGGAGGGAATAAGAGGGGAGGGGTGGTGGGTGAGGAGGAGAGAGAGAGGCCAGGTGTCTTGAGAAAGACCAAATATCAGGGAAGGACTGGGGGTAGAGAGGGGACTGAGAGGTGTTCACTAACCAGCGTGGGAGGAGGGTCATGATGAGAAAGAGTGGGGCCCAGGGGAACAAGGCTGGGGGCTCCCTAACTATGAGAACACACACTATAGTAGGAACCCTTCCTCAAGACCAGGAACAAGGTTCTCAGTTCTCTAGGGGTAGAACGCTCGAGCAGAAAGGGCCAGGCTCAGAGGTCAGGTCAAACCCCTGTGGCCACCATGAGCTATAAAACCTCAGGCTGGTGGCCCACCTCCCTGGAGCCTGCCCCACCTGGGACAATTGTGTGCTGACATTTACATCACCAGCTGTTACAGTGGGGGAGACTCACAGCTGCCCTCTCTTGCTTCAAAGCCAAGGGTAAGTCGGCCAGTGACACAAACTCCCTGATGCTTTATGAACACCTTTGCCAGAGCCACCTCAATCGTTACTTTGAAAAAATACCCTTTAGGATGACAAATGTGAAAAGACAACCATAGCTCCCTGCCTTTGAGAGCCTACAGTAAAAAAGAAAAAGTGCAAAGTTCCAGCGGCCAGGAATGACAAGTCATGAGAGCAATGTGTCCCAAACAATGAGAGCTGCTGTCCTCCCCTGTGGCTGAGGTGGTGAGGCCTGCCACCCCCACCCCACAGCAGAGCCTGGGTCTGACAGCACCTTCAGAAACCCTCTCTGGTGCTCTTGACTAGGCCCCACTGGTGGTCTCAGCAATGGAAAGTAGCAGCGAGAGGGTCAAACCACTCTGAGTCCATGTACATCCAATGTCAGACAGCTGATGGCAAAATCAAGCTTTAGAATGAGTCACCACCAGTCATTCAGCATTCCCAACACGAAGAAACCTAGGCTCCCATACACAGACTCAAGATACCAATTCCTGAAAGCATCACCAATTCCACTTCAGGGAATTTATCTTTTCAATATACCTGGACATGATCAGAATTATACACATTCCAAGGTATTCGTTAGAGATGATTTGTTATAGCGAAGACTGGAAGAACCCAGTACCCACTGGTATACGAACTGCTTAGGTAAACCGCAGTCAATCAGGACCCCAGAGGGCTGAGCATGGTGCAGGGGGACAAGGAAGCTCCCTACACTCTGATGTAGACAGCAGGGTCAGACACAACAGGCCATAATATGCTAGCTTTTGCATAAAATAGAGAGAGATAAAAAATACTTATTCATATTTGCATGTGTCTGCATAAGGAAACTAATTAAAGTTGCTACCTCTAGGGGGTAGAAGGAAGAATAGGATAGAGGAAACAGGTAAAAGGAAGACTTCAATGCGTAATTTTTTAAGTATCTTTTAAAAAATTATTTCAATTACGTGAATGGAATCTATTCTAAAATTAAAATAATTTTTAAAAATCCAGCAAGAGTATACACATAGAATGGAGAAGCCATGCCTTAGTGGCAGTACAAGTAAATGAAGGTGACTGAAAAATTTCTAGTCAAACATAGAGGAGGACACACTCCAAAGCCACTAAAACAACATCACAAGAGCTAAAAATGAAAAAGGTAATGAACTCATAGGAGCAAAAGTAAAGAAAAAAAAAAAGAGGTCAGTGTAAATTTAGAAGCTAGAAAACTGACTTAGCAAAAAATCTCTCCCTTTCTTAGAGGGCAGAAACCAGAGGTGCTGGGTGCTCAGAGGGCGTGGGGACCCAAGAACCACCCCAATATGCAAAGGCTCCAGAGGAGCAGAGGTTCCCCTTGAAGCGGGGCTGGGGCCCAGGGCTGGAAATGGGAGACCTTGGGATCCCCAGCAGCGAGGTGGCTGCCCCTCATCCACCCAGGGGACAGTAGGAAGTCTGCTTTCTGGACGGGCCTGCAGACCTAGGCACAGCGGTAAGAGGGCACAGTGACTGAACTGTGCCCTTTACTGTGTCTCCCCTTAAAGACGGGGGCTCCCTCTAGATCATCTCTCTACTTTCTGCACCTCCCACAAGGCAGTTACCCAATGAACACTCTTTGAATCAATGCAGGAATGAGAGAGGAATGGTTGAAGGAACTGGAGGTGTCTAACCAAGACAAGAAGAGACAAGGGGAACAGAAGAGTTTTCTTCAAACATTTCACACTGTAGCGGGAAGAGAAAGCAAGATTGACTTTCTACAGCCCCATAAAAGAGAATCAACACCAGATGGAAGCTCCAGAGAAAGAAACTTCAGCTCAATAGAATGAAGAACCTCCTATCTACAGCAGATAAGAGAGAAAGAGCCAGACTAGGAGTCAGAATACCTGGCTCTGATTCGTTTCCTCCACCTTTCAGCTCTAGGGGCTGAGGCAACCAGTCCGACTTAAAATATCTATCTACGTAAAAGCAGGCCCTTCTTCATCTGCCCTGCAGGTACATCTAGACAGACAATGGCCTTGAGATACTTTGTAAATGTATATAGTACTACCCAGGTGTTCCTAGACACCACTCATAATCTAAATCATAAGAATCACTCAAACATGAGTGGGCCCTCAAAGTGAGTCGATGTAACCACAAAGGGTTAAATTTAAATTTACACAGGATCTGCTTCAGTGACTGTAACCCTTTTTTGTTATTATAAACATACATAATGGCCTGCCTCCTGTGAAGGACTGTAAGGAAGTGAAACTAACACATTCCCCTCCCTGCCTGAGGCTTGCCACTCTAGGGGACATTTGCAAGGATTGAATAGTCTTTTTACTTTATTTCCTCACCTCCCCTCCATCTCTGATCCATGGAAGAACCTGGCAACCAGACCCTGACAAGATGGTTATTTTGAAGTGCTAGTCTGCTATCTTCTTGGTCAGCTGGCTCCCAGATTCAAGCTTCTTCCTCACCTCAACATCTCATCTTTTGGAATCATTGGCTTGTTGTGAGGTAAGCAGAGCGAGCTTGGACTTGGTAACACGGAGGCCCTGTTCTTTAAAGTGTTCAAGCACGATCAATAACTCCACCTGTCCTAGAGGTAAAGCAACACTGAAAGGGAACTGCTGGGGGTAGGTTCACTGACATTCACACTCCCTTACCATCCTGTGAGCCTATTCCCGGGCTCTCCAGGACTGCGAAATGCACACAAAGCAGGTCCTTGCCTGAGGAAGGTGCACGTGCCAGAGATGAGAAGAGGCAACTTGAAGCATGACAAGTCAAGAACACTTTGTGTTTGTTTCCAATCCACTTCTGGTTAGTATAAAAATACCCAGGCAGAATTGGGTAGCCAAGTCAACACTGACTGCCACTTGTGAACACTCTACCTGCCAAGCCCAATTCAGCAGCATGAAATCTGCAGAGAGTGGAATGAGAAATGCAGCTGCTGGGAGCACAAGAGGGCACAACCATCAGGATCACTGCAACCACCCCAGAGCCCCAAGGCGCTCCGACACAGGGATGCCCTGCCCTGCCCACTCGCCGGAGTCACGTGTCACAGGGCAGGATTTGGCCCTTCTCTCCTGGGCTTCTGAGAGTCATCTGGAGAACTAGCATGGCTGGACCACCCTCTTCATCCTCTACATTTGGCTGCAGCCAATGGAGAGGCCCAGGGAAGAAGTGCAGGGCAGCAGGAAAGGTGGGATCACCGCGACCCACGAACCAGGACGTGGGGGAAACCTTAAAAGTCTTTAAGTTTTAAAGACTTAAAACACCAGGTACCAGGGAAAAACACACACAGAGCTGGCTATCTGTTGCCGGGAATCTGTAAGGAATTGCCAAACGCCACAACATACTATTCTTGGGTAATGGGGTTAAGAGGGCCACTTTTCCCTTTAACTAAATATTTGAGTTTTCCAGTAATAACATGCCTCACTGAATAACCTTAAAATCAGAAAAGATTTTGAAAAAAAAATTTAGCTACCTGGAAGCACAATGGCACTGCTAGATCTTGTTGGGGCATGAGATGAGGCAGTCCACGAGGGGTCCTTCAGGAAGCGCCTCTCTGCCCCTACCATGCTGCGAGAGTGGGCTGTGGTCCTGCCTCGGGAGGAGCTGCTGCCCAGGGGTACCCAGAGGCTGCCTTCCCTTCCCCAGAGTTACCCCATCAACCTCAGCGTGGAGACTGCACACCCAGGGTGAACCAAAAGCTGCTAACAAGGTCTCCTTCCCATGGGGGGCAAGGAGAGGAGCGGTGGGAAGTGGGGAGGCGCCAGCCCAGGACAAGGTGGAAGAACCAGGCTGGGGCTGTGTGTGGGGTGGGGACAGATCAGTGGGTTCCCAAGGGGAGAAAAATCACCTGTCTCAGAGCCTCCACTGACATGTTCACCTGGTCTAGGAGAGCAAGCAGTTCTGAGCACTTTCTAAAAAAATAAATAATAAGCCTTATCCTTCCAAGAAGATATGAGTGCATTTTGAAACCAGAAGAGAAGGGGGAGGGAAGCAGACAGATTTTATGCTCTGGTGACAAATGAGATTGTCATTTGTTGAAACCTTCTCCCAAAGCAGAGCAAGACATGTCTGGCTAGAGGAGAGGACATGCTTATTATCAAATGAAAAGGAAAACAGGGGTGTGAAGGCCCAGGTTAAGACAATGAGTATAGAATAATGGAGAGCTGCCTTCCCGGGCAGGGGCTGGAATTGAGGTAAGAGATGGAGACAGAGATGTGAAAATGCTTCCAAGAAATAAATGACAACATGCAAACATGGTTTGGCTGTGGTGTTTTATCTCCTGGGCCCCTGGGAACCCAAGGAGCAGAAGATTGAGAGTTTCAGCCTTTAGAATCGAACAATTTGTTTCCTGTGGATTCTGGGGTTTTGTTTTCTTTTTTTTGAACAAAATTTATCCTCCTTTCCCATTCTGAAAATACACATTTTCAACCTCCATGTCTTTGAATAACTAATTCTTTAACCTTGTACCCATGCAGTAATAATGTCAATAAATATCTACCATGTTGGCACCTTGGTAAAAAGGGGAGGGGTTCCAGCCAGAACTCAGGGGAGCTGCTGCCCAGGGCCAAGCCTGGCCCTGCTGGCTGTCAGCTGCAAGAGCTTGGACAAGCCACTCCACCACTCTGCTTAGTTACCTCATTCATGAAATCATGAAATAAGGATAATAATATCTGTTCTGAGGATTCCATAAGAATCCACATAAAGTGCTTAGAACAAAGTCAGGCACAAAGTGTAGTCCCCAAAATGCTGCTATTATTCCAAGGACTATATAAATAGCTACAAGTGGGCGATGACTGGCAGAGCCCAGAGCAGGTGAGTGCTTGGGGCGGGGCAGGGTGGTCAGAAGAATTCTGGCCATGAAGAAGGGGTGGGGGAGAGAGACTCCCCATCCAACATGCTGGTCAGGGTCCAAGTATCACACAAAAGTCACACAACTAGCAATGGCAGGGGTGGTTTGGGTTGTAAAGATCTAATCACATTACAAACAGGATCATTGGGTGCTATGAAGCAGCTCTGCAGGGAGGCACAGTGAACCACAAAGCAGTGTGCAAATCTAAAGCATTAGGACACTTCTTAGCTTCATAGCACCTCATACAAAGTGTTGTGTTTGAAATAAGCATTCGACTGACAACTCTATTTTCAGAGAGACCTGCAGCAGAACCTCTCTTAAACCTGCCATCCTGGGTGAGAAACGCTTCTATTCATCAGGTAGACAGTAAGGGAGGGGGGGAAACCTATCTGAAATGCAGCCATCACAGCGAGTCACATGAAATTCTCCCAACTTTCACATCCTGCACTCACAGATCCCTCAACTAGACGCCGCTCACAATCAGCTGTGTGGGCAGAAAGAAATGGTCCTTTCCTTCCTCATTCTCTTACCAACCGCCAGGCAGAGCCCTGTGACCAGGGAAATACTGGGGCCCGGCAGATGCCCCTCCCTCTGGGTACCCCCACCAAGGCAAACGCCAACTTACTTCTTCAGCCACTCCACAATGTCCTCAGCTGTGGACCCGTAGCTGTCATACTGGAACAGAAACCGTCCTTTCCTGTGAAATGTGGGGAGAAACCTTGGGCTCAGCCAGGGGGCAGACGCCATCGTGGAGGGGAGCAGCGTCCACAGGGAGGCAGGGGACTTACTCGAAATAGCAGATGGTGGGGTAGCCACGCACACTGTACTCCTCCTTGATGTTTTCAAATTCCGAGGGGTAGACATTCATCCCGGCCAGCACCTGGGAGCAAAGCGAGAACAGACCCGTCCACTCTCTGCCCGCAGGTGCCCTTCACTTCATCCACACACTGCTCATTCAGCTGTCCCACCAGAAACAGATGATGGGGACTGAGCCTCAGAGACTGATGCGTCCAGTGCAGAGGGGAGCAAGGCACACCAAGCCACCTAGGAACAATGCCCGAGCTCTCTGGAAAACACAGGCATCTGGGCTAAGGGCTGCCCCCCAGACAGGCTTTCCCTCCTGCCTGCCCTGCAGGGAGGATCATCCCAGAGCAAACACAGTTCTGAGGACTGAAGAAGAAACCTGGCCTCGTTACCAAGGTCAATCAAGTCCGAGAGTAGGACTACTGCCTCCCAAGTTCATACTATGCCTTTTCTCTGCCCATGTCAACTAAGGGTATACTCTTCTCCACTCAGTTACTCCACGGGGTCCTCAGACACCTTCCTGGACACCTCAGTCTGTCCACCCCGGCTTCATGCACCACATATCAGATTACACAGCTCATGTGGCCAAAGAGGGTGTGTAGTTCTCAGGACGACCCACCTGCCTGACTCTGCTCCCTCTAGACCCTGTTAGGTGACCTGTGGGGACCATCACCTATGGCCTGACCTGACCATCATCTCTGAAGTCTGAACATACTCTGGTTCCTGGGGTCCACATATGCCAACACCCCTGAATGGAAAAGGAACTTCAGTAGCTGTGTTACTGACAACAAGGCTGTATGCTAAGAGCAATCCAGAATGAGTCCCCAGGAACTCCCTTCCCAAAGCAGCAACTTTTTCCTGTAGGGCAGGATCAGGTGCCCAGAAAGAGGACTTTGGCTCTGTCACCACAAGAGAACACAGCACGACCAGATGCAGGAAGACTCCCAGAGGGAAGAAGTTCAAAAAAGCCAGGAGTGGTTAGAGAAGCAGAGAGGAGAAAGCAGGAAGTGGAATTTTGCTGAACAATACATAAGGAGGCATATGAAGAGAATACAGGAAAGAGCAGTCTCAGTGGACAGTGAACTTGACTCAGAAAACTGCTTCCACTTGGCAGGAGCATGACCTTGGGCAAGTCACCCTCCCTGAGGTTCCTTGTTTGGAAGATGTGGTTCAGGAGAAGATCACAGGGTTCTTAAGAGAACTGAAGGAGATGACCCAAGTCAGAGGGCTTCCCTGGTGGCTCAGATAGTAAAGAATCGCCTGCAACACCGGAGACCTGGGTTCAATCCCTGGATCAGGAAGACCCCTGGAGAAGGAAGTGGCTACCCACTCCACTATTCTTGCCTGGAGAATCCCACAAACAGAGGAGGCTGGCGGATCACATGGAGTAATGAAGAGCAGCATACAACTGGGCGACTCAGCACAAAACTGTTGCTCAAATTCATTATTTCCTACCAAATTCTGGGTGATGGGAACCACCCGGGCCTCTGGCGGCTCCATCCCACAAGGCATCTAAACATACTGACCATTTTAAATGCCCAGAACAGTTTCTGGCGTAAAGCAGACACACCATAAAAGCTTGCTAATCTGATTTTTTTCCTCCCATTCCATTTTAGGGTGCTACAAGGAATACAGGGAAAATAAACCTGAGACAGAATTTACTAGAAGCTCTGGAACCCTCTAAAAGCCCTTCTACTCATTTCCCCAGACTGATTCAGCAGCCAGTTCCAGTAATAACTGTCTACTTTAAAGTTCTTTTTCTATGTCTAATTGATCTCCTCATTGTCAGTACACATTCACCACAAGATTAATCTTCCACATCCTCCTCTTTCATTACATCACCTCCATGCATAAAACCCTTCCATTCCACTGAATGGAGGCCAACGTCTAACTTCAGACTCAAAGATCATATGGTCCCTATCTCATTTTTTAATTCTTCTTTCCTATAAAACCCTTAATGTACATTTGCTAGAGTCTAGATTTTTTATTGTCCCAGGAATGACACAGTCTGAGATCTCTGCACAGGGAGGCAGCTAGACTCTTTGCCATCTTGGGCACCTTGAAGATAGAAATATACCACAGTGCCTAGGAACCTGGGCCTGGGGGGCAGGATGCTGGGTCTAAATCCTAAATCCCCTCTCAGTAGATGTTCTCCTTGAACAAGTCACAGTTGCCTCTACACCTCAGTTTCCTCACCTGCAGCTCCATCTTCTGGCTTCTGTGAAGACTAAATGAGATGGTGTGAGCAAAGTATCTACAACACTCAGAATCTGTTAGCTGTCATCACCAATATGAATACCACTAAGAAGCTCTACAGATCCGCTCACATTCCCAGAGCCCATACTGTGCTTTCTAGGCCCCGACTCCTGAGTCTTCTAACCATGTGTTCAGGTTGCCCACACCCCCTCTCTTGGCCACCACAGAAGACACATCCATCTCTTAAGGCGAAGCAAATCCCACCCAGAAGGTGGCCTTTGTCAACCACTTTTGTTTGTGATGAAGTCTTAATTCTCTGGGTTTTTGCAGCAGTTTTGACTACTTTGGGGGCATTTACTAGTTAACGAGGTAATTATTTTTTGAACAACGACTGACAAGCACTTTTTGGAGTTTGTGATTCCAAATAAGGCAAAACTGACCTCAGCCTACAGAGAAGCTAGGGCTGCCTGACACTGAACTGTGTGTGCTGGGGGTCGGTCAGCTGGCACAACATGGCCTTCCTCCTGTCCAGCCCACATCCCATGGTTGTGGGGACAATCACAGAAGAATCATAGAAACTCCACGAAACAGGAGCATGTGAGCAAGTAGTCAAGGAGGGTAAGATTTCCACAGACATTCCAGAAAGAGAAAACAGAGGTAAGACAAACCAAAATGTGGCTCAAGAACTGGGGACCATGTTGGTTTAATTGCAGGACACAAGAGAGGGCAGTGAGAGAAGGTTGGGTGGGTTCGCTGAGGTAGCTGTGGACCAGCCTTTAGTGTCTGAGAAACCAGGATTTTATTCAGGAAGTGCCAAAGAGCTATTGGGGGTTGTAAGGGGAAAGCTGTGGGGTCAGGGAGATAAGTGAGCAGTCACAGCAGCCACACTGGGTGGGTTGAGCGGGGTCTAACCCAGGCTGGTGGGCAGGTCTCGTCTCGGATGGAGGATGTATCGAGGGGGAGATGGATGGTGACAGCCTGGCAGAGGAGCCTGTGGTGCTCAGGAGGAGGCGTGGAGGAAAGCTGGCAATCTGCCAGATGTAAGGACACTGAATTTTAGTAAATATTTTAGACACCCCGCATCTGGGACTCAGGGAGAGAAATTCAGACCAAGATGTCAAGCAAGCAGTCTGATACATGGTACCCAAGCTTAGAGACGCAGTCTCCACGGAGCTACCTCTTATTGAGTTATCGACACAGATAAAAACCACTGAGGGACAGTCCATAGCAGACAAGGAGAGCACAGTGTCAGACCCTCATTCCAGTGTGTTAATAAGAAAGAAAAGAGAGTGGAAAACAGAACCCTGGGTGCACTCCATGCAGGGAGTGGAAGGAACAGCAAGCACAGAGCAGTGGGGTGGGGGGTGCCCATCGCCTGTATCTGTGAAGTGTTTGTAGGTTATAGAGCTGTCCCCATGCACCAGCCCATTCACTCTTCCAACAGCCCACTGAGGCAGACAGGGCTGGTGTCATCATCCCCATTTTAAAGAATGGGGAAATGAAGCCTCCAAGGCTACTTGCCCAAGATCTCCCAGCCAGTTATTAACAGCCATCAGCAAAGTCTGCTCTGCACAAACCTGTTGCCAAGACCAATCCATTTCACCATTTACACCCAGATGGCCCATCATGGCCAAGGTTAACAAAAGACGTGGCATGCACATTGATAACTGGCAAGGCTGGGAAGAGGAGGTGGGCAGGCATGGGCTCGTTCTGGCAGCTGTGCTGGCTGCTAAGGGTGTCAATTGGCGGGACTAGATGGGACAAATGCAATGATTCAGTGACAGCAAAAAAGAGGAGGAGGATCTGAGTTTGGAAAATGGCAAAGGCTGTGCATTCCTNGATAAGCCTGGCAAGGCGGCAGAAGAAATACACGAGCAGGCCTGTCAGTGACTGAGACTCAGCCCTGGGCGAGGTCTGACCGCCCTGGCCTGCCCTCCTTCCTCACCGACCATCCTGCTTGCTCCTACTTCTCTGAAGACCCATTTCCTTTGTGGCTCGTCTTCCCCTTCTTGTCTCCCAAAGGTGGGTGACCCTGAGACGACCTTGTCTCCTGTCCATTCCCCCTGCACACTCTCCTTCAGAGAACTGGTATGTTTGGGTCTCCAGCTCCCCACCACCTTGCTCCACTGCGGTCCCGACATCCCTCCTGCCCCACAGACAATGTCCCTCCTGGTCCCTCCGGAACCACAGAGCCCTACACGCCTGGGCAGGAAGCTGCCTCGTGGGCCTGCAAGTGCTCTGGGCCCACTATTGGGGTCACTGTGCCCTCTTTCTTTGCCACGAGGCTGCCCAGCATCCGGAGCCTCAGCCTGCCTTGGAGCCCAGCCCCCAGCACTGTAGACCCTGATGGTCTACAGTCAGCCCCTGGCCTCTGCACACCACAGGGCTTCCTGCTACTGTCCTGGCTATTTCATCACTGGCCCTGACAGGCCCCACACTCTCCTGGTCCCAGCAATCTGGGGAGTCCTCAACATCCACTGAGGACAGGCCTCTGAACCACATGCCAGGGGCAGCAATAGTAAGTCTTTCTCACGATTTTAAAACTTGCCCTCTCCCCTCCCCCTGCTGTCTCCCCAAGTGAGAGGGAGAAATCGAGAGCCAGCAGCCAGCCCCACCTGGCCCCTGGCTCCTCACTTACGAACTGGCCCCGCAGCTGGGTCGCAGCCTTCTGGAAGTGCGGCATTATCCTCTTGCACACGCTGCACCCTGGTCACCAGCAGGAGAGAAATGAAATGGTTACAATGGGCCCCATGCTCAGTCCTCTCTCCCTTCAGGCCCGCCTCTGCCAACAAGCATTCATCCCACTCCCAGAAGCCAGGACCGCCCAGGCTCTGAGAACACACAGGCTCAGAGGCAAAGGCCCCAGTCCCCAAGAGCTGACCAACTCCACAGCATGAAACAGGACCCAGCCCAGCATCCCCTCAACAGGTGTGGGACTGTCAAAGCTGACGCAGCTGGGGAAGAACAAAGCACTGAGTAACTGAGAGCGGGTGAAGAGTTCAGCAGGAATCCAGAGAGCCAGGGGAGCACCCGCTTCAAGCACAGCTGAAAGCCTCCCCTCGCTGTCTAGCTGGGGGCTGCAGATGAACCTGGAGCAAATGCTATTAGGAGGGAAAATGTGCAACCACACATACAGTGGCTTTGGGGATTTCTTGCCTCTTTTCCTTCATTAACAAAGATAATCACGCCACGACAGGAGGCAGTCGAGCGCTGGCCAGGATCCGACACTCCATTCTCATCTTCCGTCGACCTGCCCGACGACCCTGACAGGTCACCTCCTCTCTCTACTGATCCTCCCGGCAAATGAGGGGGCGTGGACCAGACGCCCTCAGGCCCCTTCCAGCACTGACACTGGCGTTCATTCTCTGTGATGTCTCTGGCTCTACCCTCTCTGGTCCACTACGGCCACACTCCTCTCCTGGGTGGTGAAGCCCCCAACACCCAGTACTACCTCAGAGAGCCTCTGATTTAAACCCGCCCCTTCCCTTCAACGAGAACAAGCCGCACACAGGCACTCACCCCACAGAACACGAGCCCCAGTTTCCTCAGACAGGAGGAACTCTAACACACAAGGCGTTACTCTTCCTGACAGCTGCTCTGCTGCAGAACAGGCTCTGAGATGCTTCTGAAGGCCACAGACTCCAAAGCTGCCTGGAAGCCCACCTCAGTCTGGACGTCAGCTCGACAGCACAATGGGGACAGGGCCACGCAGTACCAAGCTGACAAGCTCAGATCTACATTTAGCTAAGGCCTCAACAGGCCATGGGCAGAGCAACGCGGCTCAGAGAGGAGCACTCTCCCACTGGGCCAGATGCAAACACTGGAGGCCGTGAACAGCTCAGAACTCCCCAGGGACCACTCAAATCTCCCCAGCACTGCATCTACCAGACAAGATGCAATGCAGGATATCCTGACGTGAAACTCTCAAATGCCCACAGCCCCTCTGGGACGTTCCTGCCCAGCAGACAGACAGACACACATACATGCCAACATATTAATAAGCCTGGGCTCAAGTTTATGCCATTAGTTCAGGCTCAGACTCAGGGGGACATGGTAGCTGCAACGAGGTCAGCCTGCAGCGTGGCCCCTAGTCTGCCTGCAAAGGACAAGCGGCCCCTCTCCCCAGCAGCTGCCACCACAGCATGGTCCCCATCAGCACTGGCAAGGGAGGCATGTGACACCTGTCAGGGGGCTTTGTTCCCACTGTGGGGACTCAGTGGGGAGAACAGAAACCAAGGAGGCAGTGCCAGCTCCCTGGGATGTCCAAGCTCCACCAGGCAGATGCACGTGGTAGGGATGGGAGGTCACGCAGCAGAGGAGGGAGCTCGGCTCCAGTGAGGGTGAGACCCAGGTCTGCATCTCCCCGGACTGCTGCTGGGTGACCCAGGGCTAGCGTGAAAGCAGTCTGAGCTCAGCTTCCCCATCTGTAAGGAAGAGGCAGCACCTGCCCTCAGGCTGAGGGCAGAGCCAGCACCTGGTGGGGGTGGGGGTGGGGGTGGGCAGGACCAGGAGGGGAGGCTCTGCCAACACAGGGCCCAAGAGCCCACCTCTCAGTTCATGGTGGGGAGACACTTCCACCTGGAACAGGGATGTCACTCGACTCCCCAAGAGGGAGGATGATGGGGGCACACTTGAGCCCTTCACCCTCTCTTTAGCCAGTGACTTGATGAGATGGAGGAGTCAGACACCCATTAGGGCACATTCTGCAGTCCGGAACTTACTGCCTGTCCTCAGAGCTGTGGCCTCTCCCCCCCAGCTCTGCCTGTCTATGACCTCAAATCACATTATCCTCCGTGACCCCTAAAGGAATGGTAAGTTGGCCAGCTGTCCCCAGGGTGGAAATCAGCAGTATCAGTTGAAGAGGTTATGGGTAGGGGAGAGGTAATGGAACAGTAACAGGAAGCTCTGGGCCAGGTCAGCTGCCACTTGAACTTTACCAGAAATAGAGCAGATATTGTGGTCCCTATTTGAGTTTACTTTTCAGCTGATTTAACTGGGAGGCAGGGGAAGAGAGAAGACTAATGACCACTCTCAAACCCCAAAGCTTAGAGCACCAGCCCATTCATTTTCCCATCAGTTCAGACAACAAACATTTACTGAATAATTTCAGTAGGTCCTGGGGACCCAGATTTCTTGTCACAATTAAAAGTTCCCACTGGCTCTGGGTTCATTCACCCTAGTCGTGATCAAAGGAACAGAGTCCTAAAGGACTTCCCAGTGAAGGATTTGGTGACTCCCAGGAATAAGCTGAATTATAAGGCCATGAAGGCTTGACAGGATCAGTATAATAAGAGCACAACAGTACCCACACAATCTGCGGGTACCTGGGACACAGAAAGCCATCCAATCTGACCCTAACAAGTGTAAACAGCTTCGAGCTTCCTCCCTTCCTCAATACTAATCATTCCGTAACACCTACAAGGAACCTAGCTTCTTCTGTCCTAGCTTTCTACTCTAGGAAGATAATCTGCTCATAGCTCTGCCTCCTGTGATGAGGATGGTCACCCCGCCAGACAGCCTGGGGAGGTGCTGTGGGGTGGGAGGATGGCGCACGCACTTAGGTGCACATTGCCAGGGGACCTCTCTCTGTGACTACCTAGATCATTACACTAAAGCCTGCCAGGTTGTACCGTGAACCCACCTCATGACATGGACTGTATACTGATATCACTGTTTTAGTCTCATTTAGCCAATGTGCTGAGACAGGAAGCATTCTAAGATAAACCAAAGGAGGCCCATCCTCCGGAATTGTGCGAGCAGGATAATTTCTGAAACAATTTACAATTGGGCAGGCCTCATAGCTCAGCTGGTAAAGAATCTGCCTGCAATGCAGAAGACCCCGGTTCAATCCCTGGGAAGGGGAAGATCCACTGGAGAAGGGATAGGCTACCCACTCCAGTATTCTTGGGTTTCCCTTGTGGCTCAGCTGGTAAAGAATCCGCCCAAAATGCAGGAGGCCTGGGTTCGATCTCTGGATTGGGAAGATCCCCTGGAGAAGGGAAAGGCTACCCACTCCATCCAGTATTCTAGCCTGGAGAATTCCATGGTCAGATCATGGGGTCGCAAAGAGTCAGACAAGACTGAGTGACTTTTACTTTCACGGAGAAACAAAGGGCTTCCCAGGTGGCGCTAGTGGTAAAGAACCTGCCTGTCAATGCAGGAGACCTAAGAGACCTGGGTTTGATTCCTGGGTCGAGAAGATTCCCTGGAGTAGGTAATGGCAACCCACTCCAGTATTCTTGCCTGGAGAATCCCATGGACAGAGATGCCTGGCGGGCTACAGTCCATACAGTCACAAAGGATTAGCTATGAGTGAAGCGACTTGGCACGCATGCACACAAGGAGAAACAAAAAGGGGTGACACCAACCAGTGAATGCTAATAGAGAAAATGACCAGGGATTAAAGTGCAGGCCACCTGGGCAGAGCCAGATCTAACAGGAAGTGGGACTCCAGGGCCACTTTCCACTGGCAAGCACAGTCCTGGGGTGAGGTTGGGGGCTGGGTAGGGGTCGCCTAGCAATCAACAAAGACTAGAGGGAGAGGCTGTTGTCATAGGGGTCAACCATGGGCCCAAATCAGGCAGAGCCACAGAACCTTACAGAAAGGCATTCAGCCCGGGGAGGTGTGCTCACCAGGGCTGAGACAGGAGGGGCCTTTTGGTGGGAGAACGCCTCTGGAGGGGGATTGGAAGAAGGCTTTTAAGAGTAAACAGGAGATAGGGTAGGGAGGGAGGTGGGAGGGGGTTCAGGATGGAGGGGACACAAGTATACATATGGCCGATTCATACTGATGCATGGCAAAAACCACCACAGTATTGTAATTATCCTCCAATTAAAATAATTTTCAAATATATATACACACACACACTATATATATATATACACACACACACACACATATATATATATATCTCACTTCCTGTTGAAGTTAAAAAAAAATTAAATAGAACCCTGTGTTACCCAATTAAGCCACAGACATGTCTGGACACACCCACCTCCCATCACACACACCTCTCTTGCTCAGGCCTTTAGGTCTTTGCTTTTCAATCCATGGGTAGCGACAAGTCAGACTTCAGAGGTGGCCCAGATGGGGGAGTATCTGTGGCTTGGAGGACAACTGCTCCATTCCACAGCTGCAGCTTGAAGGCAGCCATAGACAACATGCTGTGAAGAGCCACATGAAGAGATGTGGCTGAGCTCCAACAAAAATTAATCTACAGAAAAGGCAGCCAGCCCACAGGCCATGATTTGCTGACCCTTTATTAGAGGGTTATGAAGCAGTAGGAAAAACCAATAAAAAACAATAAAAAAGAAAATATCAGGTCTTCCACATTTGGTAGAGTGGATAGCAAGCAGTAAGGAAGGGTAAGTCTGGTTTAGTGAAACTTTGCAGCTTACATATATAGTTTATATACTTACAGAGTACAGGGCTGCAGTGTAAAATATGCTTAATACTACAAATACAGTCAAAAAGTTTGAAAGCCACAGCTCAGATCCAGCCCCTTTCTGCCCTTTCGGAAATGGAAACTGAGGCACAGAGTGGTGAGGACTTGATCAAGGTCACCTAGTGCAGTGATGACACAGTTGGAATTAGAACCCAAGTCTTCTGGTCACCATCTCAGTGATCCTTCTGCTGTTCTCACGACGTCTAGCCTCATATAGAGACTGAAACCCAATAATGGGCCCCTTCCTCCCTGGTCCTGATCCCTCAGCCCTCCCAGCTGGATGTGTGGCTGCCCAGAGGCCGGCCAGGCTCTGGATAGTCGGCAGCGGTAACCACAGAGTGCACACCAGGGCCGAGGCATGGCTCCACCGGGTGCACGGCTCCACCGGGTGCACGGCTGCCAGCCAAGGGCTTCAGGCCACAGGAGGCAGAGGGCAGGGAAGGCGGAGGTACCTGGAGCAGATGCCGGGGGAAGGGGACAGAAGGATACCAATGCCAGTGAGAGAAAAACTGGTGTGGATGTAGGGGCAGAGCCAGACGAAAGGCACAAAGAAAAAAGGTGCAGGCAGAGAGATGGGGTGAGCACTGCGACCAGGCAGGCCTAGGCGTTCCAAAGGGAAGCCCGGGGCTAGTTTTCCGTCCCCCTCACATCCACAGGGGCCCTGCCCAGGGTCTGACCATCCGACTTGAGTGCAGACAAGAAAGGTACTCACATGGAGCATAAAACATCATCAGGATCGGCTTCTCTTCCTTCTTCAGGAGCCGACGGAAGTCCTGAGGCACACAGAACATCGCAGGTTACAGACAGCACAGAACAGGGGCGACAACCCTGGGGACCCTTGGTGGCGGAGTGCGGCGAGCACTTCTGAAATCCCACAGTCTGCCTTGGGGGATGGAGGGCAGTACAGAGGCCTAGCAAGTCAGGGCTGAAAGGCCCTCAGAGACCATCTATTCTAGCTACCTCACATGTTACAGACAGGGAAACTGAGGGCCCGAGGGGACAACTGGCTTTCCCAAGGCCACCTGGCAGAACGAGGTAGTCGGGACCAAGTTACCAGCCTTACTTTCAGCTCCCACCGAACAATGAAGACACTGCAAGGAGCTGACTGGGCCCCACGAGGCTGTCTCTTGTTCTGTGATCTATGGCTCTGCTATGGTGGGTGCTTGTTTTCATGGAGGCCCAACTTGGCCAGGCGGGGATCTGCTCATCACACAACCCAGGCTCACCCACCCCCATGAACCTTCCCCAGCCCAGCCCTGTCATGCCACCAACCATCCAGGGCCCAGAAGACCACAGTGCACACAGGAGCATAAGGATGAGACGCACCCATCCCCAGGAGGCTACAAGCTTAAGTGGATCATTTGTATTTGTAAAACCCTTAGAACGGCGCCTGGCTCGTTATCAGGCAATATATAATCATTTGTTAAATGAACATAATAAATGTAAAAAGACAAATGGTCACAACAATGCTAATGGAGAGACTTCAGTGCAAAGCAGGGCAGGAGACTTTTCTTCCAACCAGAGTCAATGATGTTCGGGAAAAAGCAAATCTATCAAGGACTGCAGAGTAGCACCATGACAGAGCACATTTTGATTAAAATAAGCTCCTCTAACCAGTTTCCATGGAAGAAAATTAGAGGTTTTTCTCTCTCAAATAATAAAGAAAATAAGAGGAAATTTCAAAATGCAGGCTTCCTGGCAGCAACAAGGCATTAGGTAAATAGATGATGGTACATCCTGCACAATAGAATACTATTGCATCATTAAAAACGATGGAGAGAAATATTTAATATCACAATAAGATGCGCATGTCACATTAAGTAAGGGGGCAAAGCAAGTGACAAAACAGCATATAAAATGTAATGACACTTGTGTGAGCAACAATGTTTATGTGTGCATTACACTGAAAGCCTGAAGGCTACAGAAAATACTGACAGTGAGTACCTCTCAATGGGCAGGGGTGATTTTTTTTTTTCTTTTATGCTTAAGCTGTATTTTCTGAATTTTCAACAATGAACATATATTAGTTATAATTTTTCAGTAAGAGAAAAAGATTAAAATATTTTGAGAATTTAAAACATTACATAATCAGTTCTGAAAATGTTCACTCTTATTTACATATCTAGAGGGTAGGGGCACCCATTTGAAGATAATCAGTAACCAAGATCTTTGACCCTGACTAGGAGTGGAGGATGCTTTGAAAATGATCTTCTGCAATCCCCAGAGCTAAAATTGTTAAAAAGATCTGAGAAGAAAAGGTTTTCCTGAGCCTGTAGCAATTTGGTTTCATACCCTGAACAGTAACAAATATCATATTACATTCAAAGATGTTTCAGTTCAGTCACTCAGTCCTGTCCGACTCTTTGCGACCCCATGAATCGCAGCACACCAGGCCTCCCTGTCCATCACCAACTCCCGGAGTTTACTCAAACTCATGCCCATTGAGTCGGTGATGCCACCCAGCCATCTCATCTTCTGTTGTCCCCTTCTCCTCCCACCCCCAATCCCTCCCAGCATCAGGGTCTTTTCCAATGAGTCAACTCTTCGCATCAGGTGGCCAAAGTACTGGAGTTTCAGCTTCAACATCAGTCCTTCCATTGAACACCCAGGACTGATCTCCTTTAGGATGGACTGGGTGGATCTCCTTGCAGTCCAAGAGACTCTCAAGAGTCTTCTCCAACACCACAGTTCAAAAGCATCAATTCTTCGGTGCTCAGCTTTCTTCACAGTCCAACTCTCACATCCATACATGACCACTGGAAAAACCATAGCCTTGACCATCAAAGATGCTTAATTACCTTCAAATAAGTGTGGAACTCTTAAGTTTACAAACAGAAATCGGCAATTCAAACTTGAATTTGGAACTTCGGTTATTTTATGTGTGGATTTTATTAGCACAAAAGCAGTTAATATTTCTACATGAGAGAAAATAGTACACAGTATAACAAAAGGACTGCCTACAGGCGTGGAAAAGATATCTCTGCTTAATATTTCTAGTTACAGAAGAGCAATTTTAGGAGTTTCAGGACATGAACATTTTGGGGGAAGGAGGCAGCAGGCAATTGCCTGTCTGAGAGGCTTTAAAAACACATATTATCATAAAATCCACCCGGGAGAAACCATCAGTTTAGGCTGTCTGTCTTTTCATGGCTATGGGCACAGGTGCCACCACCTCCAGACACTGGCCCCTCCTCCTCTCCTCCTCCCTCTTCCAGCTTATGACACCAGCACTTTCTATCCCAAAAATGTTGATGCCCAGCACCCTAATGCCAAACACCCTTCATCTGAAAGGCCCACTTGGTTATCTCATGATGATCACACATGATCCCTCCTCCAGAAAGTATAAATGGCATCATTTTCTTCTGAGCTAATAACAAGCATCAAGAGTCAATGATTTTAAATGAAAAGGGAAGGGAGTCAGAGGAAGATAAAAGGTACGTTTTATCTTCTCAAGATAAAACGAATGTTCTCCCTCCATCTACAAAAAAGCACTGCTTGTTGCACAGGCCATTTGAAATGTGACAAAGAAGTTCTTGCCCATCCCAATGGGAAGGCACAGTCAACCAAGTAAGGTACACATGCGCACATGATAAAAACATAGGTACCCGCGGACAAAGAGGCACCTTTAAGTCATGTGTGCACAGGATAAAAGCATAGGTACGATGGACAAGGAGGCACCTCTAGGTCATGTGTGCACATGATAAAAACACAGGCACCCATGGACAAAGAGGCACCTTTAGGTCATGTGTGCACATGATAAAAACACAGGCACCCATGGACAAAGAGGCACCTTTAGGTCATGTCGGGCAGGCTTTGAAAGGAAGAGGTTCAGGGTTGCATGCAAACTATACTTCAGAACCACCCTTCTACCCCCTACCCCAGCCAAACCCAGAAACTGAACTTGTTCAAAATTAACACAGTGACTCAGAATTGTGGAGACCTGACTCAACTCTCTGAAAATCCAACCCAAACCTCTCAGAAATTTTTAAACAACAACAAGAAAAAAAGCAAACACAAAATCCACCTTAGAAATAATACCAAAAACACAAAGGCAACAACCACATTACATAATGAGAAGGAAACATTTAAATGTCCCTATAAGGAAAATGTACACATGTTAAAATACATTATATAAGACAGTGGAGAACAGAAGAAGTCCCAGGCAGCTAATCTCCTGTTGTTTCCATCTCGGAGCTCGGAAGGGAAACCAATGTTAAGGCCTGGCCAAGGGCTCCCTTGGAGGTTCCATAATATTCCTATTTCTCAGTTTCTCAGTCATCTCTCCTGGGGGACCCTGGTTGGGGGGAAGCTTCCAAAGCCCATCAGAATTGATACGGAAAAATTACCTTTTCATTGTCAATGTGGACAACATCTTTGGCTCCAGGATCTTCCTCCCACAGTGGGGGCCCTTTGGGATCCTTAAGAAAGGCCAGTATGGACTGAGGAAAAGGAGAGAGAAGGGAAAACTCATTTTAGCCAGGAAAAGAAGCGGTAAGGGGATCAGGAACCTGCCCCATCCCCTACCTGGAGACTAAAGTGCCTGAAACTGGATGCACACAGCCTATGGGCAAACGACTGGGGTGTGCCATGCCATCACCCACTGACAGCACTGCTAAGCGCCCTACAAATGCACCCCACATGACACCTAACACTGGCCCACCGACACCTACAATGCTTCTTCAGGGACAAGAGAGAGGAACTTAGAGACAACTAGCTGGCTTATTCAAAACAGAGGCACACACTTCTGATAAATCTCATCTCTTCCAAAAAGTCTCCCCGATCAGTTTGAATAAAGGTCCCCAGTCCTGTGCTATGTAAGATACTTATACATTCACACAGCCATTAAAACTGTCCATGGCATAAGCCAGTTAATCATGTCTGCTTGTAAACTGCTTTGTATTTCATGATCTAAACTGGTTAGGGAGTGCATTAAATCCTGATCATACTCTCTGGGACGCAGGTGGGAAGCCCCCCAGGGCAGGGTGCTCATAACTGTAGCCTCCTGGTTGCTGGACTTCTCTCCTTAGAGACACTTTTCTAGACGGACAGTCCTACCTTCAGGATAAAGGGCTTAACTAGCCTTTGTCTTGGGGACAACTGACTCAGCTCTCTGCTCCCCTCAGGCAGGACACACATGGAGCAGGAATGTGGGGGGGTGGGGGAGACACGTCTGTCTGCTCCCCTACCCACCAGCCACACAACAGAAGCCGCATTCCCTTCGCTTTCAAACAGTCATCTCAGAAATGCCGCTCAAAGCCTGTGAGAGCCAGGACCGGGTACCAGAAACCAGCCGAGCCTCTATCCCTCCAACCCTGGAGAGGTGGCCTCCTTGTCATCAGACGAGCCGTCAGTGTTCTGCAACTGGATGCAAGATTCCATTACATCTGCCCGCTTTGAGCATGCTCCTGTGAGCAGATGATGAGCTGGGTGTGCCACGTGTGTGCTGGGGAGGGAGGGAGGTCTGTGGTGAGGATGGAAAAACCCTGAGTGAGGCTGTGCATCCAGCCCCCCACCAGTCACACAGGGAGGACCTGGGAGGCTTGCTATTTCTTAGAAATTCCTTTTTGGAAAGAGCTCTATGGGAGAGTGGGAGACAGCCAGGACTTCGCAGAATTTCATTCAGATCGTGGTCCCTGTCTGTCCAAACAGAGCTATGAAACGCCTGCTGGCAAGAGAAGATGGCTGTTCCTACCAGGCAGAGGCGGATCAGCCTTCTCTCAGCACCTTGTCAAAGCTTCACTGTGACAAGAGCAGCCAAAGTGAGGCCAGCAGGGCTACCCTGAAAGCCACACTCACCCACAGCCACAGGGCACGCCCACAAGCCATGTGATTAAGATGCTTATGAGAGCCCACCCACCTGCTGTTACAGAAAGCTTGGTGCAGATGCTATCAACTTAGGGTACACAGTGGACCTCAACAATCTGTGCAGCCCAAGACTCATGGGAAAACACTCCCTCCAATGTATGTATGCACACAGTGTCTAGGGATAAGGTCCACAGCTTCCAGGAGATTCTCAGTAGGATAGGAACTCAAAGTAGGTAGAAACTACTGCCCTGGGGGGGTGGGGGGTGGAAGTCCTGGTCTATGCCAGGACCAGCTGAGTTAAAGGGCTAGCACCCCCACCCCTGCCTCAGTGTCAAGGCTCCTTCTGAACCGTACAAGGGGACAGCAACAACAGCCAGACTATGCACCCACCCTGCCAGGGGACTTCTTCATCTTTGCAGAGACAGAAGCTCAGGAGAAACCCTGAAGGGAAAAGTGACCTGAGACCAAGGAGAGCTTCGTTCACGGCTGCTCCCCCTGAGAAGCAGGAGCTGTCGGGCAGTCATGGGAGCTCCACCATCGCACCCCCCTACACTAGAGATCCCCAGGGACTCCTCCCCAGTCCTTGATGGCCCCATGGTCTTCGGGGACCCTGGGACCAAGAATGCCCTCTCCCCACCTCAGCCGCTTCTCCAGCTCCTTGATGCAAAGATCACAGGCAGGATGGGAGTGAGCAGATCCCACACACCTGGTCTTTGTGAGAAGGTGGACAGAAGCCAGGACTCAGCCTCCCCAACCCAGGCAGGTCCAGACCACCTACCTGGGTGTCTCTCCTGCCACTGCAGTTCTGAGAAGCTGCTATTCCCTGCTCCACAAGCCCAGGACAGACTCCTCAGAGGGCCAGCTAAATATACACTGAACACAACCTCCAGACACAAAACAAAAAGCCCCGCCGCCTCTACCAGCAACACCCCCATACCACTCAGCTCCCACATCTGAGGAGCACGTGTTACCACTGCAGCTGACATCTTAACACAGAATAAGAGGGGTTAAGCAACTCTAGTTGGTAGAATTTTCTCTAAGTGTCTAAGTGGGTGTTGAGATGATGAGTAATCAGACTGAGTCTGTATTAGGTAAAAGCTGTGGCAACTTAAAAACAAGAGTTAGTGGATAAACAAGAAATGACCAGGGAGGTAGGGAGAGACAGGCAGAGGGAGAAGGGCATGGACAGCCATACAAACAGATGGATAGACAGAAAAGAATCAAAGGAAACAGATGGAAAGAGAGAGAGACAAAGAGAGGAGCCCAGGGTCTAATGCAGTCTAAGCAGGAGAATCAGAGAGGGTGGATTCAACATATGCTGCGACAGAAGGAATACATGGCCCTAGCCAGGGCAGGGACTGCAGCCTGGACCAGAGGCCGAAGACTGATCTGAGGAAAGGAACGTGAAGGAGGAGAATCCAAGGGCAGTGGGAAGACTTGGGGCCAGGAGAGCTGCCAGGTGATACAGGACAGCACCTGCAGGTCAGAGGATCTCCATCCTTATTTTCACTGATGCTTTTCTATCTCTTTTTGAATCGGATTTATAGCTGAGAACATCTCAGCGATGTGGGCATCTCATCCGGACCAAGCTGCTGCCCTGCCCAGGTCCTGCACACTGTGCTAACCTGGGCACCGCTGGCCCCCTCAGGCCTGTGGGCAGCCCCAGTGACATGATTGTAGAGGTGAAGGAGGGCTCCGGACTACAGTGAAGGGAGACTCTGGCCTCTGCAGAGGAGGGCATGATGTCAGACGTCTCACTGGACAGAGTGATGTCAGATGTCTCTCTCACTGACAGTCACAAACCGTCTACAAAGTGGCAGGTCATCCCCACTGGTTTCACAGCTACAAACTTCTCCAGGCATTCTGCTGACCTATGCTCTAGAGATGAGACTCCCTCAGATCATTCGGAAGGGCATTTGTGCACTCTGCCCTTCCTCCTCTGCCGAGAACAAGGCAGGGAAATTTACCTTAAATGTCACAGCTCGGTTATATTCAGTATGAAACACACCATCCCTGTGAAAACAGGAGAAAAAGGTGTTAACTTTAGGATTGGTTATGAAGACATGGGCTTCCCAGGTGGCGCTAGTGGTAAAGAAGCCGCCTGCCAATGCAGGAGACATAAGAGACTTGGGTTCGATGCCTGGGTAGGAAAGATCCCCTGGAGAAGGGCATGGCAACCCACTCCAGTATTCTTGCCTGGAGAATCCCATGGACAGAGGAGCTTGGTGGGTTATGGTCCATAGCATCACAAAAAGTCAGATACGACTGAAACAACTTGGCATACACTCACATGAAGACGCTTAACCTTTTGGTTTCCTGCAAAATCTTAGTAAGCTTCAGCTGTTGAACACAGCTCAAGTTTTTTTTTTTAAGGAAATAATTGTAAACACAAAAAAAATCATTCTGAAATAAAATTAATCTCACTAAAAACTGTGGTTTGCAGAGAATACCAATGAAAGCTTTCAGCATTTATTTGGAAATTGGAAAAGTCTATGTGTACTTACTGGTAATGGAATAATTCAACCTTTTTGTCCTTTGCACTCAGGTCAATTTTCATCTTCTTGCACAATTTTCTACTTTCTGCATCACTGAAAGACACAAATATTGGGGAAAAGACACTTGTTACCTAAAGTCCCCATGAAGGTTTGGACAGAGGAAAATCTGCTGGTGACCTAAGAGTAAAGGAGATAACTTGGGATTCTCAATAGCAAGTGAGGCCCTCACTACAAATGAATTCTCAGAGAACTGGAGGAAGGAGGGAAACCAGCAGGATCTGGACTGATCTGGAAAGACAGAGGCAAGCAGATGGGGAGGACATATCACTGCCTATAAGGGGCCATGTGGTGGATCCAGACAAAGTAAGTTCTCTAAAAGCTTAGTGGGCAGGTGGCACATTGTAAGAAAAACAAGCTCAGGGTAGTGGTTCCCAATCCTGGCTGCTCATTAGAATCACCTGGGGGAAGTTTTCAAACATACCGATTCCCTGACCCTCCCCCAGGCCATGACTCAGAAGCTCCACCGGTGGCCCCAGCAAGTTTTTTGTTTTTAAACCTCTGATGTTCGGCATGTGCCACCACCAAACCAGGGCAGGAGAGAAACATTCTATGATGTTGAAGGAGTTACGAAATCTGATCAGGCATTGATAAAAGCCAGAGAGAGAAAGGCGAAAGGTTCAGTGAGGTGCTAGCGTCTGCAGTATCACACTCCTGCAGCTCTTCTAAGGAGAAGTGTCGGCCGGGAGCCATTCACTATCCCCCAAGTGCTTATGTATGACTCCTCTAATCTTGCTTCCTGTTCTGTTAGACCTCTGATCTCAAAATGTGGTCCCTGGACCAGCAGCATCAGCACAGCCCAAGAACCTGTCAGAAGTGCAAATTCTCAGCTCCCTCCCAGACCTACTCTATCAAAACTCCCAGCGGGTCCTCATGCAACCGTGTTTTAAGGAGGCTCCCAGGTGATCTGATGCCTGCTGCCACCCTGCCTGGCTCTCCCTCATCTCTCTGACCCCTCTCCCACCCCCATGAGGCTTGGTTTCCCCTGTGCCCTGCACCAGCTCCCTCAGAGACTTCACCTGCTTTCGCAGCCTCCCTATGACCTCACCACACTCAGCCAAGTCTTCCCAACTTCCAACCAGAGGCAACCAGCTACCCCACTCCTTCAGCCCTGCTCCTCATGCCAGGACCCTCTCCCCACATCTCAGTGGACTCAGTGAGGGTCTCTTAGCACCCCTACTCTGCACCAATCCCAGCTGACTATACCACATGAAAAACTGTTCTGCCAGGTATGACCACCACCTGAGGGAAGTCCTGTCAGCTCCCACCTGTTCACCTTGGACAGCCATCAGCTTCACACAGCTGTGCACCAGCCCTGGAGCAGATGGACTAATTACACCATTCAGCTCAATTCTAAAAGCCACACTCACAATGGACAGGCTACACTATGGAACCTCATTTCAAGTGTAAATATTCAATTTGCAATTCAAGAATGTTTCACCGGCAAGGTGCCAGGGTTGGAGAGAGTGTGTCAGGCACTCTCAGGGACCACCCCCTCAAACCTCCACACCATCCCTCCCTATGCAATTCTACTTGTAGTGGCCAACACTGTAGCCCCTGCAGCTTCCAGCCACAACCCTGCCCCAGCACACAGAAAACTCAAGAAATACACAATGAGATCAGGAAGGAAGGCTAATGATGCAGCCAAGGCTCCTTCCCCAGGGAGGTGAGGACCTTTTAAGATAGGGAGTCCAGAGAGGACAGATAAGCTGAGGTGCAGAGGGGGCCCAGAAAGGCCAAGAGCGTGTATCAGGGGGCCCTGTAAGGTGCAGCCACGCAGCCATGCACCCACTGATGGTGCTGATTACCATCTAGCCTGCCCCGTCCTACAGGTGCTCTGTGGTGAAGCCACATGGACAGGCAGCGGGGTCTGTTTGACAACTGTGTCCGAGGTGTCCTTTCCCTGCCCCAAGGAAGACGGGAGGGCTCAACTGGGATGTTTACAACCATTCCCTTGGCACTTTCCCTGTCCGGCTTTGCTCTGCTTCATGCCAACGATTTCTGGGACCACCTACTGTCCACTCAAACATGACAACAAATAGCAGCTGCAGCAGAAACCAGGTCCAGGTTCCCGCAGCCCCCCTGCCTTATGCTGGCCTCCAGCAGGTGCACCCAGACTGCAAGGCAGCCTCACATCAGCGCTCTCCTCTGTAGAGCCTGGCTGGCAGCCTCTTCCTGTGATTTTACGAAGCAGAGAGAGAGATGGGGCCTAGTCTTTGCAACCCCAGCCCCGGCCGGCTGTGCAGAAAAAAACCTACTCTGTGGGAGAAAGCCTCGCTGTCCCGGGGAACCCAGGCCAGGCTTAGGAGCAACGTCCCAAAGCAGCTGGCTGGGCTGGGTGGAGCTGGGGTGGGGGCAGCATGGAGGTTCCTCACAGGCATGTCCAGCCCCGCCCGCAGCCAGCCTATGACCCCATGACCTTCCAGCAACGGTAGCTCCACCTCGGCCACAGGATCCCTCAGGCCGACTCTGCAACCCTCTCCTCTCCTCTGCTCCCCCACCCCCCTGCACACACATGCACGTGCACACGCACACCACACGCACACCACACGCACTCAGGGTGGCGGGTGGGGAGCCGGCTTCCCAACCTCTCTGAGCACCTCTGTTCTCAGACCCCAGGGCCTCAGCCCCTCTCATCTGGCACTGCCGCCCGCCCTTCCCCACCGGCTCTCTGCCCTTCCCCCAATACGTCCACTGACTGTCACTCCCATCAGAAAGGTTTGCTCCACCAAGCCGATGGCTTTGTTTTGTTCATGGCTGGTTCCCCAGGGTTACAAAGGCTGCCGGCACATAGCAGGCACTCTATAAATAGCCTGAGTGAGTGAGTGAGTGATGCTGGCTGTCGTGCTGGGATGAGGCGTTCATGGCTGGCTCTCTGGGCTCTGCCTACTGAGCTCCAGGAATCCTGCCAGGTGACAATTCCTGACAGTGCGCTCTCAGATCAGCTCGCTCCCCTCCCTCCTACGATTCTGCCTCTCAGAGTGTGTATGTGTGCGTGTGTGCATACACATATGCACGAACTGTGCAGTACAATAAAAGTCATAAGAGTTCAAGAAGGGGAGAAATTACCCAAGCTCAGGGACTTAAAAGGATCTGGATTGATAGATTTCGCAGTTAATTGTGCTCCTGCCCTTCCCTAGCCAATGACTAATGCTCTAGCCAGGAAGGAGACAAAGGCAGACAGCAGGGAATAAGCTGCTTTGCTGGGATGAGAGGGAGGGGACAACCACAGAAAGTGTCTGTCCATGCAGAGGTCTTCACCTGTCATTCCCCAGACTGTCCTGCAGGAACCAGCCTTCTCTGCTGGCGCCTCACCATCCTCTGCCTGGTTACTGGTTACTCACCCCCCGACCTGCCACATCCCCTCCTCCCCCGCCTCCCTGGACTCTGCTCTACAGAGAATGTGGAGGAAGGTCACTGAGGCCTTTTCACACTTCCCTCCCCATCCCCAGCCCAGACAGACACATACCCCAGTGTTTTTGTTCGACTTTGTTGTGGGTCGCTGGCCAGCAGTGCAGAGAGTGGCTGTGGGTACACAGTGCTGTGTGCTTACTAGATCTGCACATGCAATGAGGATCATTCAAGAGACCCACCAGAGATAAAAGGTGAGAGGGTGAGAGCAGGAAGAGAGAGAAGTAAGGTGCTGGAGGCTCGGAAAGCAGTTACTCGACTTATAGAAGTCGCAGCATAAGTAGGAAACCCTCCCGCAGTGGCCGCCGGCTGCAGTGACTGGCCGTCTAGGTCTGCCTCTGCCCCTAGCCAGCCTGTGACCTCCAGCAGGACCTTGGTTCCCCAGCTGCAAAATGCAGAGTTGTCACACAAGCTGGGCAGAGCTTTCCATCCCCCTACGGGGTCAAGTATTACTAAAACACCAAGGCAGGCTGCCTGCATCCTGACGGACGAACCAGGAGCCAGAAGCCAGGACAGATGGTGGAAATTCAAAAAAGATCTGAACCTCCATCATCTCTCTCCTAACTCACGACCAGATCCTCGCTTGGCCAGGCAACAATCTTACATCCACTCAAACCCTGGGCAGCCTCCAGCAGCAGGCAGAAAGCAGACTATAAGGACCAGAGGCAAGGCCCCCAGCCTATCTTGGACACTGTGTGCCCTTGGCCCACTCAGCCTTCCTGGGGTCTGTTTCCCTACCAAAGAAGGGGCCCTATCTGCTGGGTCTAACATGGCAGGATTCTAGCAGATGGACCTGTGACCCTGAGGGTGGGGAGGAGAGGAAAAGTGGGACATGTTCCCCCCTTCAGAGACATGAAGAAACAGAGAGATGAGCGAGTGAGCAAGAAACAGCTTCAGAGTGACTGTGGAGGACAACACGGAAGGAAGGGGTTGGAGAACAAAGCAGGGAGACAGAGAACAGCCCTGGAAGAGCTGGGCCTCCAGCTTGCCAGGACCTGGGGGGCTGCTCATTGGCCCTGCTGACAACGGGACTCCCACAGCAGGATCCTCCCAAGTCTGCCTGTCCTCCGGGGTACGACCTCAAGAAGGCACCTGACTGAGTATGAATCACCCAGCAGAGCTCATAAAAGAGGATACAAGAAAGAGGAGTGTGTCATCCCATCCTCCACCTGCTTCCCCAGCCCAGCAGTTCTGGAGGGCACACGACACACTCATGACAGCATGGCAGCATGCCACGAGGTGTCTGAAGCTGCAACAAAAGCACGACAACCTCTTCTGAAAGCCCACTTTATATCCCATGGTAATTCAGCATGCTTACATGTAAAGGAGCAAAGAATTTCTGGAAGAAAACATGGGCTTCAAAATATGTTATGCCTGCCCTGGCAGGCCCCCAATCTCGGATCTAGGAAGCCAGTGCTGCTCCTGGGGAAAGACAGCAGATGGGAGAATGAGAGCGGGGAAGAAGCAAAATGCCATAACATAATGACCTTAACCCTAGGGAGAAGAAAGCGGCAAGCACCCCATAAGGCTGCCTCGGCCCAGTGAGAATCAGCCCCTGGAATCAGCACGCCGGGCACAGGTCCTGCCAGTTGGCTCCAGCTTCGCCGCCCAGACAGCAGCACTCAGGGCCAAGGCCGAGCCCGATGCCAGGCTGCAGAGCACACAGGGAATACCAACTCCCTCACACACAACCCACTTAAGAGCTGAACAAGTACCACCAGCCAACCCGAGTGTGGCTGCCGAGATCTGAGCCAGGAGGTGGAGTGAGGGGAAGGGAGAGCTGACAGGCCCCTGGACGGAGGCCAGGAAGCCTACAGACACCTCAGAGCAACAAGTTACGGGCCTGAGAAAACCGGCAGAGAAGGGTGTGTGTGGCTGTCGGTGTGCAGGCAGGGGTAGGGAGGAAAGAGCCAGAAAAGCGAGGAAAAGAGAAGAAATATCCACATTGAGAAGAGAGAAGGAAAAAGACCAAAAGAATGGGCAGGGACCAGAGAAAGGAAGAGGCAAGAGAAACCATCAAAGGAGAGGGAACAAAGAAGGAGAGAGGCTGAGAGGGAAGGACAGGAGGGATGTCAGAGGCAGACACCGAGGGTGGGGAGAGACACGAAGACCAGAAGACACACCCTCCCACACACTTACATGAATACACAGGCCTTCATGTGCATACATACCGGCACATATGTGTACACACATAAGAGCCTGGTAGCTTCCAGAATGTTCTCAACCAGGCTATGCAGGGATGAGAGCAACTTGGAAGACTCAACTCCATGTTTTACACAAGAGTAGACTGAAGCCCAGAGACAGGCAGTGACTTGCCAAAGGTCACACAGCTATTTGCTGTCAGAGCCTAGACTCAAAGCCAGGCCTCCCAACCTGCAGCCCTACAAATTTCACAGCACCCCATAGTTCGTAAGGGTCCAAACAGAACAGCCTGTGCGCTGCGGCTGACTCATCTCTCTTCAGGGGCATCCTCACAATGACCAAGGGGTCCTCACCCAAGGAAAAACTCCTGAAGACAAATACATCATCTTCCTCCCTCCAGTTTCTTGGCATGCCCTAACTGGCCCAGGTGAAAAATAAAAGAGCAGAATGGGATCTCAGATTTAAATTCTATTCTACAAAGAACTTTCATTTACCTGATCCTCACCATGAACCCAAAAAGAAAGCAGAGTATATATTATTGTCCCATTTTACAGATGAGTAAACAGATTCAGGGTAAGTGACCTGGCCAGGGTCACCAGGCTAGTAAGCAGCTGAGCTGACCCTTCAGCCAAGGGCTGTGTCATCACTGCACACACTCTACAGACTCCCCATGCTGGAGCACTGTCTTCTCTCCCCCGGATGCCCCCTGGCCCCTCACCTGCCTTCTAAGGGAGGAAAGCAGAGGGGCTGTCATCCCACCCCAAGTCCCAGCATCCCCATTCTGCCTCCATCCCTTCACTGGCAGGGCGGGACGCAGAGCTGGGGAACCACACACAGCAGGGCCCAGGCAAGGGCAGCCAGACCTGTGGTCCCCTGCTCACACCCCTGCAGAGCAGTGGAGAGTACCTGCCGGAGCATTTTTGCCCTTCCATCTGCCCACCCCAGGGGCATCTCATTCAGACTCATGAACACAGCTGAGTGCTGTCATCACAGGGCCTAGAGAGAACACACTGGGTTCCCCTAATGATTTATGGGGCACGTTCAGAAATCTCTGAGCAGGAGCGGCTGAGCAGAAGGCGTTGTCCAGCTCACATCCATGGGGATCTCCCTGTGTAATGGTGATCCGTGCCCTACCACCCAGGGTGGCCCGCAAGGACCAGAGCTCCCAGTTCTATCCCTGTGGTTGTTCTGGGGAAGATTTAGTTGTATCCTACCTGATATTCTGGCTTCCAACATCATCCATTATAGCTCCATAATCCACCTACTTATCTAAACTTTTAAAAGCTATTTAATATTTCAGCTTATGCCTCCTCTTAGAGGCATGAGTTGAACAGCAATTATGTGAAGAGTCAACCCTTTGTCTTCAGGTTACCTCTTTAAAGTCATAAGTTGCCCCCTAGATCTTCATCTTAGAGCATCAAGTCAAAGGATTCTCTCTCCCAGCGGCACTTTTTATTGATTCCAGACATTATGTCTCCAAATGAGCCCCCAGTTCTCTTCTTCTTAGTCTGTCTTTACACACTAAGCCCAGCCCCATACAGTCCTGCCTGTCCAGGGAGCAAAGCAGGACTGTCACCTCCAGACCCATCAGCCAGACAACCGAGGGGCCACACCACAGGGAGCTGCCTGCAGGGAAGGCCAGGGCACTTGAAAGACCTGGTCCTCTGAAGGCTTGCCCCAAGTCTGAACTCAACCTCCTCTGTGAAGTTTTCTTCAACCTTTCTAGGCAGAGTGAATGAAGTGACTATAATCACCTGGCTAGATGTCTGCTGCCTCCTTGCATACTGCAATCCTCAAGGACACTATTAGCCAGGTCTGTGCCTCAAAGCACAGAGTAAGTGTTCAAGTGAATGAACCCAGGTGGACGGGGCAGCTAAACCAAGCTCTTCTGCCCACTTCCGCCACCTACAAGCCTGGGAAGAACTCCCTGTGATGAGGCTCCATTGGCTTGGTATGGATATTCCAGAGCACCCTATCCCCTCTAACGGGCTCTATCACTTTGCCAGTCACACAGAGCAGTCCTGGTAAAATACAGGAGACAGAGACACACATGGGAGACTAGAACACTTCCAGACCCATTCTGAACTAGAAGTAACCAACAACTGAAATCTCATCAACTGTTTAGTGAGCTGTCTGTTCCATTAAACTGGTGTTTGAATCAATCGGGAGGTGTATGCCAGACAGGTGTGCGTGCGCGCGCACACACACACACACACACACACACACACTGTGCAGCAAACACTGCTTGATGAAGACCAGACAGGAGCATGCGTGCACACACACACATGCACATACACACGCACGCACACGCACGTGAGCGCACACACACACGCACACACACACATGCACGCACACGCACGCACACACACAGTGCAGCAAACACTGCTTGACGAAGACCAGACAGGCGTGCGTGCACACACACACGCACGCGCACGCACGTGAGCGCACACACGCACGCACGCACACACAGTGCAGCAAACACTGCTTGACAAAGACTTCTGGCTTCATTCAGTGCGCTGTCAAAATACGCCTCTCCCTCAATTCTCTCCAATGACAGGCAGGACCCGCTTGAGGCTACCAACTTATAAAACAGTTGTGTCCCAGAGGTTTATTTGCCAAACAGCCACTGAGAACTTAGGTTGAAGAGGGAGAAGATTGCACTGGAGTGGAGCCCCTAACAGCTCACGTGGGTCTGGAGGTGACAGTCCTGCTTTACCACAGAGTAGTAAAGGGTTTGTCACTCAGGCAAGGACAGAGATATTAAAGGGTACAAAGACCCTTATGGGCTGTGGAGGAAAAGAACTGCCACTTTCCCAGGAGAGCCCCACCTCGTCCCCATACTAACAAAACTGTAGTGCTACCTATGTTCCTCTCCCCTGCTCTTCCCAAACTCACGTTCCCAATAAACCCCAAGTCCAGGTGAGGACCCAGTGGCCCTGGGAACACCTCCTAGCCTCTATCAGAAGGACATATAAATGCTGGTGTCCACCCAGTGCGGTGCAGTGCCTTGCAGGCAGACAGTGCTCAACAAACGTGCAAAGAACAAACCTACTCTTCCTGACCTTTTCCGTATGTTTCACTGTCTATGTGTCTTTGCTCTGTTTTTGCCAATCTATGCCCAATTGGGAACTAATTATGTGACAAGAGGTGTGTGTATATAAATCCCAGCAGCAAAAGTGCTGAATGTGGAGAGATGTGGCAATTATTCCTAATGAAGAGAAGGAAGGGAAGCCGAGAACACCACGGATTTAAAACTCCCAAACTCAGAAGGATCTGAGGAGTTTAAAGCGCCCCCTTTTGCCGCACTCAGAAGGAGCCTCCTGTGGGCTGGCGTGTGATTCTGCCATCATGACACTGACATAGTCTCTGGGAGGCGGCAGAGGCAGCAGGAGGAGAAGCAGCTCCCAGCCTTGTCATCAGGACATGTTGGGGTGGGGACACAGGCCAGAGGAAAAGAGCTGGAAGGACTCAGCCACCTGTCCAGGGCTGACCCATGTGACAGAGCCACCTTGGAAGCCAGGGCAACAGACAGGTCTGCCAGCTGATTCCCCAGTTGTGCACTGTGGGCCCTGGAGACCACCGTGAAGGGCCTGGGCTGTGGGTAAAGCACATGGTTCTCAATGCAGACTCCCCCCATAAACAAGCCCACCAAGTGGCCCTGAAAATAATCTTGCCTCTTCGGGCATCGAGGCTCCTTCTGCACCCTCTGAGAAGACAAAAATCAAGTGCAGGACAACAGAGTAACAAGTAAAAGTACTATGTAAAAGGGAAGAAGAGGGGTGGGTAAAGACAGGAGGGGGAGCCACACCTACCCTTCTCCAGCCCATAGTGGTCTGCAGCATCACTGGGGGGTTGCGGGGGGAGGGGGGTGTTCTTCAGCAGTTATCTCTCCATCATACCTCCTCTCCCAGAATGTCAATCAGGAACACTTCCCACTCCACCCACCAGAGCCCACCCCTCGCCCTCCAGCCACCATATCCCACGTCCCCAGGATCATACCCACAGTCCACCCAGCAGATGGTGCCTTGTCCTTTCACTGCCTGGGCTACAGTAGACAATAACTTGAGGTGACTTTCAGCTGCAGCTTCTGTAAAATAAATAAATAAATAAACATCTGTGCCCAAGCAACACTGCCCCACCCCTGCCATCTTGCCTCGGGTAAGGAAGGACAGAGGCCAGTCCTAGAGGCGAGGTTCTGAGCACCAGCAACAATGCATCCCTGTGGGCAATGGTTCCAACTGAGGACCAGCCAGCTCTTCTCAGAAAGCCCTGCTCCCACCACCCTCAGACACAGAACCCGTCACCCCTCCTTCAAGCCACGCCTCACACCTCACTCTGCCAAGTCTCTCTGTTAGATCCTCAACTCCCTGTAGAATCTCTGACTCATGACCTTTCTGGGGCACATTTTGAAAATTCTATAACTGAACAATTACAATTCTATAACCAAGCAGGCGATGAGTCTGCGGGTTCCACGCTTGCCTGTCCTGGTGCCCAACCTGGGAACTGACAAGGGCTGGGACCAGACCCTCGCTTCACCTGCGTGTCACACACTCACCGAGGGGCTCCACACAGCGGAGTGATTAAATGAGGCTTACCTGTGACTCTGGTCTGATGGACCGACGCTAAATGTACCCAAGTCACTCACAGCCTGCTTCCCCAGCCAGGCAGTATCCCGGGGAGGGGGTGTCAGCTGCAGGACCATGGACTATGCCTCAGGGCCAGGCGGCGTGAACATGAGAAAGGAAGAGGTGTTGGGGCAGAGCCCCTGGAAAGTACAGTAGGAGGGCAGGCTCTTAGACATGGAGCCCCTGTGGCCAGGATCGCCACGCCCCCAGCCCTTGGTGCTCCACTGAATGGCGGCTGTGGCCGGGCTGTCGCGTTCCCGCATTGTCCCTGTCAGCTAGCTCCCTGGAAAGGGCCCCCATGCAGACACTGTGGGGACAGCAGGCTGCCGCCCTCACCCGCCAGAAACTGCATGATATGTTCTAAAGCCAAGCAGAAATGATATCTGAATTATTTGCCTCCTCAGATCTCCTTTTCTAGTGTGGATAATGGAAGCTGTTTGTGAACACAAAGCCTGCTGAGCCTTTTATGCAGTGAACAGAAAACATCCTTCAAGAGCCCTGCACAGAGCCACCCGCAGAGGCCCTCCCTGGAACCCCCAGGCCAAGGGGGGGAGGCCGAGGTTGGAAAGGTCGCCCTCACCCTTCAGACTGGGATCAGGAGGCAGGGGAGGGAAACTTGAGTAGAGCACATGAAGCCCCCTCCCTGAGCCTGCCTTTCAGCCATGGAAAGGGAGGCACTGGTTGGGATGAGGAGGGGAGAGAAGCCGGTTACCACATTGCTCCTAAAGCCATGGGAGGTCCCCAGCGTCAGGACAGGCCTGGGCAGGAGGCAGGAAGGTAAAGTCACCACCGGGGTCCAGGGCCAGAGATCCAAACCAGGGAGGAGCCAGGTGCACGGGGCTGCTGAGAGCCCCACTGCCAAGAGGCAGGGACAGAGGCTGGGCCAGGGCAGAAGAGAAAACAAGAGCGCTCCCAGCCCCTCAAGCCCTGGGCTAGACACCTCACCTTCCCACTAGCTACTTTCTGCATCCTTTCCTGGTGGCTGAGCCTCCCGTCACTGCAGATTTTGCACATTCTTCCTGCCTCCAGCAGAGGAGGCCAGGCAAAGGGGACAGAGGGACCCGCCCTAGCGTCCACCGCCTGGTGGACCTCAGGCCAGGCAGCTCCAATTTCCTCGTTCATAAACTGGACATCACCTGACAACCTGCACTGCCTCCCTCACGGAAAGGCAGCAAATCAGAGTGTGTCTCAGAAGTTCCTTGCAGAGCCCTCCTAAGTAGGTGAGCTTATGTGAAGCAGTGTGCCCGGGGAAGTCAGTGAAAAAAGTGAACACCCACGTGTTCCTGGGTGGGGCTGATGACCCCCCAGCTCCAGGGGCACCCAAGGATGTTGAGACACACTTGTTCAGGGCCTTGGAGCCCAGGCCTCAGGAGCGACTCTGTCTCCCGCCTCAGTTTCCCCCTATTCCCAACAGAAAAACAACCCCTGGGAGTGTGTGCCAGGCCCTCAGAAGGGCAAGGACCAGCACGTGCCGGGTGTGTGGAGGACGCAGGCCTCAGGAGGGACATGCGTCCAGAAGATCCATCAGCACCACCTTCCTGCCCCCGCCCCAGGCTGGGTGTTGAGGATGAGCTGCTGGGAGAGCTGTGCTGGAACTGGCCATGCCTACTGGCTACTGCTTCTCTGGGGCACAAGAAACTTGGCATCCTTGAGGGCAGCAAGAACACTTAACTCTGCTGGAACCGCATCAAGTCAGATGTTCGAAGTCGCAGCCAAGAGCTGAGCAAACCTCTCCGTCTGTGATGCCCTCTCCAGCCTCAAGGTCAGAAGAAGCAAACCGCTATTCCCACACCACACTGAGCGTGGAGCCCACTCCAAACTCAGTCTCTTGCTCTGACCCTAAAGCGAGACAGACTGGGGCCAGGCAAGGCCAGGATTGCCAGCCTGGGTGTGTGCCCCCAAGCCTGGGCCAATTCAGCTGGAGACAGGCTGGCCCAGTCAGTCAATTAATCCACAGCTCCGGTGAAGCATGGCCCTGGCGGTGCTGGCCTGCTGTCCAGCAGCCAGAGAGTACATCCCTGGTGGTCACTGTCCTCTGGCCTCCTTCACTCACATGTCCTCTCCCTCCTGAGGCACTGAGGAACTCCAGAGGGCTTTTCCTAAGGAACCCTGGTAAAAGGGAACTAAAACAACCTCTTAGGGATCCAAAGCAGCAGCACTAATGCCCCTTTGTCAGGACCCTCAGTGGGCAGTTTTTAGTTCTGGGGTCTCTGCCTCCCACCTCTGCCCCGGCTCCTTCCTTTCCATCCCACTGCATCCCTGACCACGGCCCCAAGGCCAGGAAAGGTACTCACCAGATTTGGAGTAAAGCACCAGTACATTATTCCGCGTCCTGAGAAGTTTTTTCAAGTCCTTGGGGTCAGAGATTCTGTCGATGAGCGAGGAGAACTTTGCAGAAGACAGCCACATCGGCAGGACCACCTGGGGATCAAGGAGCCAAGGACCATGAGTCCCGAGTCCCGGTGGGCCCGAGGACAAGAAGCACCCCCAGATGTGCTGCCCCTAGACACGACTGGCTAGGGAGGGATAAGGTACGCCCCTCCTCTCAACCCGAGACCTGCCTTTTGCCTCACCCCCTCTCCAAATCCCAGGCAGCGCTAGTGGTAAAGAAGACACCTGCCAATGCAGGAGACTGGGTTCCATCCCTGGGTAGGGAAGATCCCCTGGAGGAGGACTTGGCAACCCACTCCAGTATTCTTGCCTGGAGAATCCTATGGGCAGAGGAGCCTGGAGCACCACAGTCCATAAGGTCACAAAGAGTGGGACACAACTGAAACAACTTAGCACTCATGTACATACTCTCCAAATAGTCCCCCCCTCCCACAGGGACTCTTTCAGCCCACTCCCAGTCACCAGCTCACCCTTCCTCTTCATGCACTTTTTTTATGAGGCCATATGGGCTGCATGGGTGCATAAGCATGCTGCATGGACGTTCCAGCCACCCTTTCAATCAAGACTTCTCTGGGAGGTCAAGGTCTGTACCCTACCCTGCCCTCAAATGTTACACTGTGGAGCAATGTGAAAACTCCATCCCGCCTAGAAGCACCAAAGCCCCAAATCCACAGAGAAGTATGATCACCTCTTAACGTGATCCCATTCAGGATGGGAATGAATGGGTGGGTGAGGGGTTTCTCACTTTCCCCACTGAGCCAATGGTCTCAGGAGACCAGCCAACAAGAAACAAGCCAATTCTCCCACAGAAAACCCTGAACACCTTGGGCCCTGGAAATACCAGGCATTGCTGCAGGCATGAGAGGTGGGCTGAAAGCAGGAGCAGGAAGGGGAGGCTGTTAAACGTCTGAACAAAGCTGTGACCCAGCAGAGCCCCTCACCCAGCCCACATAGCTGGCCAACAGCCCCTTGCATAGCCAGCAAAGAATACCACGGTTAACACCTGGAGAGACGGAATAAGAAATGCTCTGCCAGGAGACACCAGGCAGAGGTGGGAAGAAGTACAGACAAACTGAACCTTGAAATCACCCATCTCCTCTCAACCCCTACCCCTTAGCACCTTCCCTTCCCTTTTCCATAATGTTGCTAACCTAATCCCCCCACGAGGGTTATGGAGGAATGTGGTATGAAGAGGCAACTACAGATTATCCAATGTGTGTGATCTTATAGATCAGTTAGTTTGACCAAAGTTGCATAGCTAATAAGAAGCAGGACCAGCATCTGAACCCCCGTTTCTCTATATGACCCCAGGTCCCCTTAGGCCACTGCCTCTTTGTAGTCAGAAGTCTTGCACTGAGTCTGAGCTTCACTCAATAGCTAAGATGCCCAGGCAACATCACTCAACCTTCCACAGACTTAGTGCTTCGCATCTGATGTGGAGATAATGATACCTCCCCTCGTGGGACAGCTGTGAGGATGAAAGGGGGTAACTTATCAAATATGCCTTATAAATCATACAGCACTCTAACAGTATCAGTTACTGTAATATATAATATAAATTTCCATCTCCGCAGAGTAGAAGACAGAAATGTGGCCATATTACAGTGTTTCTAAATATAATCTGCCATTGGATGCAACTTAACCTTCTCCACAGAGTAAAACCATCAGAAGGAGTTGTCCAGGAATGATTTTTCCTTTATTCTGCCCTGGCAGGATGTGCACAGAGCCTGAGGACCCCCTGCCTTCATACAGCAACCTTGAGAGTGCACCAATAAGTCCAGTCCACCTTATTATTACATGTTATTCCAGAAAGGTCCACAACAAAATGCACATGGTTAAAGGAAAAAAAGAAAAGAATTTGTTAGAAAAACATGTTGATGCTGCTGTTTTTAATCCTCAAATAACCTGGGTAGTCAATAGAAACAACTGCCCTTGCCCAGTGCCTCGGGACTCTGACCCGCAGATCAGTCCTCCTGAGAGGCACCTGAATTTCTGGACTAGGGGGTCAGGAAAGGGGAAGAGAGGGTGGGCCCTGTGCCCACCTGCCCAGGCAGCACAGCAGCGTTCAGCTGAGCCAAGCGACAGCAAAAACCACAAGAGCACCAAGTCTCAAGGCTTATCCACAGCTTCCTTCCTAGAAAGCCCAGTGAATCCCTCAGGTCATCTAACGGTTACATTCTAACCAGCTACTCTCAGAGAACACAAACCACCAAACCTCTGCCCCAGAGTTCACCCTCACGCAGCAGAGAGCTTCAGGTCTACCAGAAATACACTGAGGCTGGGGCTTAAACGCAGCACTGTCTGTGGCCAGCCTGGTTAAGAACTCTTTATGGAGGGTCCATCTCCTCCTCATCTTGCCCCATCCCTACTCCACTCCCTAAACTAGGAGCACCTGCCCCTTGAAAGCCCTTAGGAAGTGTTTGTCCAACACAATAAACATGACACACACACGACTGCCATACTCTTGATCTTTGCAGAGGTCCTCTGCTGGGAGCACGTTACGAGGTGAGTCTGTGACAGCTCCTGGGAGACCCAGAGGGACCACAGAAGCCCGAGGTGAGTCTGTGACAGCTCCTGGGAGACCCAGAGGGACCACAGAAGCCAGACAGNAGTCTGTGACAGCTCCTGGGAGACCCAGAGGGACCACAGAAGCCCGAGGTGAGTCTGTGACAGCTCCTGGGAGACCCAGAGGGACCACAGAAGCCAGACAGACCCAGGGCAGTCAGGGAGGGTCTGGGCTGGAGAGTGGTAGGAGAGAGCCGGTAGGGCCAGTCCAGGGTGGGTGGGGTGGGACCTTGAAAGCCTGGCTCGAAAGGCCCATTTGGCTGTGATCTCAAACTGGACAGGCTGGAGGTGAAGGGACTCCCCGGGTGGCCGCCCAAGTAAAGAGAAATGGTTCAATCCAAGAGGCTCGAGAGAAAAACAACAGAACTCAGTGACTATTCATCTGTAAGCAAGGGAGGAAGAGCAGAAGCTAAAATGACCCAAAGATTCTGTGCTCAGAAATGGAACAAGAACCAAAATTGCAAGAATGGAAAAGTAGAGGAAGCTTTTGTCTCTGTTGAGGAAGGTGATAATAAGCTTAGGCACAGATATGTGGACAAGACACCCCACCGAGGTATCCTCCAGACTGGAGAGTGAGACTCAATGAAGTCTCAGAGGTCAGGGTCCAGAGGGAGAGGTAAGGAGGAGGAAGAGGAGGAGGACCAGGAGAAAGGTCAGGAAGAAGGCAGGAAGTGCCACATCAACGCAGACCAGGGAGGAGACACACAGGCAAAGGCCAGGCCAAGTGCAGGGGGAGGCAGGCTGCAGACGCACCCATGCAGGAGGGGCACAGGCGGCTGCAGGGTGGGGAGGAGGGCGGGCTGTCTCCACTGAAGGTGGGGAGCCGCGTGGACGTTTGTGGGCACAGGACAGGCAGGATTTGCCAGGAGAGGATCTGAAATATAGGGAACAGAGGAAAACAGTTGGGATAGGTAGATCCAGGGGAAATCAGGGGACTTGGTGTGCAAAGAGCTAAGATGCTCGCTTTAATATCTCTGAGAAGAGGGTAAGAGGCCCCTTATATGGCCTCAGACAGACCCTCACCTTAGCAAGCAACCACAGGGACAGGAGGGAGCATGGCCCTTTCCTCCCTCCTCTAAACCGAAGGGGACTCTCCTCCAGCCACTTAGCATTCTCCTTTCTCTTCCGCTTCAGTCTACCTTAACCTTTCCAGCATGCATACTCCTTCCCTCCCTAAATATGCAGCTCCTGTGAGCCCTGGATAGCCTTGCCAAGAGCCTTCCTGCAGACTCCATAAGTCACAACCCACAAACCTTGATAACAATAACTACAGCAACAATAATAATGTTAATGATGCACAAACTCTGTTTTGTCAAGCCCTCGGAGGGGGGGACAGGGCAATGTGTGAGAAGGAAGCCAGCCACCTTCCGAGCCAGCCATGGAGCTGTTCCTGGGTTTGGCAGGCAGGCAGGCTCTTTAAGTCCTAAGTCTTTCACTTTGGAGGAAGAAGAGAAAAAAATCCCCTTCTGTTGCCTGTGCAAACTCCTTCTGACTTTCCCCCAATAACTGCTTTCTTTCTGCTCGCCAGCCCCAGCCTTCACAGTATTTCCATCAGGGATGAACTACCCCACCGACTGGGCTAAGACCCATAAATCTTCCCCTGGGTGCAGGGCAGAACACACCTGGGAAGGACATTCTCTTCTTCTACTGCTGGGAAACACGGGCCCCAAAACCAGGTCCCGCTTGCATCACAGAGCCAGTGCCCCCCATCAGAGTACTGGTCCCTAAACCCCCCAAGCCCTGTCACAGCACAACACCCCTCTGAGAACACCAGGCCCCAGCATCAGAGAAGCAGCCCTCTCCACTCGAGCCCCTCCCCTCATCAGAGTATAAGGCACCCTACAGAGCCCAGCTGCCACTCAGGGTGCCCGACACAGAGGCCCTCACCCCCACCCTCTACTGCAGCTGGAGGCAATGGGGTCAAGGACGCTGGCTTCTCCCCTCACCTGCCAAACAGGCGTCTGCCTGTTTCAGGGCCTGCTGGACACAGGGGCCTCCAGCCGAGAAGCTCACTCTCCTCCCGCTGCGGTCTCACCACCCCACAGACACATGGGAAGAGCACTGCGTCTGGAGTCAGACAAACCTGGGCTCAAATCCAGGCACCGTCATTTACAGCAGGATGACATGAGGGGTTATGAGTGTCATCTCCCTACCTATAACGAGAAGATAATACTGACACCTGCCTTGAAGTGTTGGCTGAGGATCAAACAAGGGGTTTAAACTACATGGAGAACCTAACGTTATGCTTGGCACACAGCACATAAGCATCATAATTATCTGTATTAGTGCTATTAGTGCGACAAATCACAGACAGAGCAAGGACAACAGGAGACCCAGCACCACCTTTTCCTCTCCAGGGCCCTGCCTGCAATCAGGCAGGACAGCACGTCCAAGCAGGAAGAAATGTGCACGTACACAAATCTTGCGTCCGCACCTAGAATAACCACCCGTCTGCACAGTGAACC